TTGAGTCCTGGCTCTGTGCCAGGAGCTACTTGCCCACGTAAACCCTCTTTAGGCCACGCTCCAGCCTGGGCTGGCCTTTCCCCATCCCAACATGGCTGAGAGGCCTCTTGGTCCTGTAAGACATATAACTCATACTCTCCAATTTAGCATTAAATGTAAACTTTTCTATTGTTCCGTAAAGTCTCATCTATGGTAGATCTGTCTCTTCGAACAGCTTGAGAATTCCTTAAAGGATAGAAACCATGTCTTTTCTCTCTTGTTCCCCACAGCAGCTAGTACAGTACTGCATGCATACTGTTAGGTTCTCTGAATATTGGCTGACTGCCTAATGGACATGGGAAAGGGAGGTAAGGTTACTGGGGCTGACTTTGGTTGCTGGGTCTCCAGGAATTCTCCTTTTGTGGAGAACACGTGTCATTCTCTCAGGTTCCTCCTGTTCTCCCAGGTGAGCCTCCCTCTGCTGACACCTGCAGGGATACCACTACATCATCACAGAGACTTTGCTCTCCCATCATCATTCTGTTGCCCAGATGGAGATCCAGGGACAATTTGCCGAGTGCAGTTACTGTCTTCGTGGTACTTTTGACCCTTGGTGTGGCTTGCTCTTCCTGAATTCTTTTTTGCACTCTTTTATCATCCGATAGAAACACTGGTTATCTTCCACTCCTCTCCTACGTCCAGTTAGTCACCAGATCTCTCTCTTAACTTCTGAAGATTTTTCAAGTTCACTGCTTTATCTCCATTTCAACTACCATTATTTTAATTCATGCCATTGTCTCCTTGTAACCAGTTTATTGCAACAACTTCCTAACTAGTTTCTCTGCCTTGGTCTAGCCCTCTTCACACTGGACCTGCCGTGATCTTTCAAAGATGCACATTTGATTTGGTCGCTTCCTTGAATGTAGGCTATTGCACTGAAGACAGGGTCCAAAATCCTTGGGAGGGTGGCTCAAGACCCTCAGTCTAGCACCTACTTCTTTCTCAGCCTCACTTCTCACCTCCCTTTGCTTGTTCCCCTCCCCCTCCCCCTCTCTCCACTCCAGCCCTGTTCAACTCTGGGTGCTTCCTCACGCTTCCTTACCCACCTATGGGCCTTTTGAATCATACTTTGGAAATTTTCCCTTTGCTCCCCCAATACTCCACGAGACCGCACAACCTTGAAGAGCAGGGATTTTGCCTTATCCTTACACAAAATAAGAACTTCAAAAATAGTAGCTATATACATAAACATTTAAGTGAGTTATTGATACGTGGATTTCACTGTGCTGTGTGGACAACACTTGACGTTTATTGAGTACTTACTATGTGCCAGACCGTATCGTAAGTTCTTTAAATATAAAAAATTAGTTTATTCTGAGAAGTGGGTACTATTAGATCTCTTACTTTACAGGTAAGGAAACTGAGGCAAAGAGACTAAGTTATCTGCCTAACGTCATTCAGCTAATAAGTGGTTGAGCAGAGATAGGACCTCAGGCAATCCTGTGCTAGAGGGTTCGCTCTTAACCGATATAACCTATACTGCTTTTCATTCAAAGCCACTGCGGCACTTACAGGGTATATTATTGAGGCACGGCCATATGAGAGCCAGATGGGCTAACAGAGAAGTGGGAGGAGACCCATAACAATGAGAGAAGAAGGGTCCCTTGAATCTTAAGCAGGAGGCTTGGGGAAGGGGCTCAACGGCAAGTGCATGCTCAGTGCTGCAACCACAGCTACCATCAGTCACATACTCTCGGATAGTCTAGGACACAGAGAGTCAACTCAAGAAGGCTTGAGCTGAGCACTTGCTGTTCTGTCTACTAAGGATAGCAAAAGTAGAGTCAGACCCAGATTTTGCAAGATAGCCACAATCTAGGGAAACAGACTGCACTGCGTGAAGAACTGTGTAAGCCACAGCGACTGTGGTTAACAGCATAATAGAGGGAGAACATCTCTGTTTCTGTTAACTCTTTCTTCTCTTCGTTCCCCTGAAGGATTGCCTTGTACAAACTAGTACCCTGGTGAGTGTACATTGTGGGGTGCTAGGTAGAAAAATGCCAAGTGAATCCAATAACAGGAGTGTTAAATTCCCACCTTCTTGGACTTAGTAAGCCCCAGAAAAATACTTTGAGTGCAGTGAGGTATATGTTACATAGACTTATGGAACATGGAGGGTCCATAGGCCTTCCCTTTCAATGTTTTCTACACAGTGGGGCTAAATGAATACCTAGTTCCTGGCTTATACAGAGCCCTGGCATCTCAAGGTTTTCTGTCGGACACTTGGAGACATGGTGCTTCTCTAGGCTGAGGACAGGGCTGGGGAGAGTGATGAGGAGCTATTTCAGAACAGATGTCAACAGAGCCCTTCTCTCCGTGCTGAGAATCATCAAACACATGCCCCACGCCTGCCAGGCAGTGACCGACGCACAGGCTCCAGAGCACAGACACAATGAGCCGGCCTCCTGGGGGAACTCTCATGCTGCAAACAAATGAGCTTTGATGGACCAGTGGCCTTGGCTCATTCTTGGCAAATGTGGAGGTGGGAGCTCAGGCCGGTGTGGAGTGTAATTAAGGATGGCAGCTGGTGGAGCAGGTCAGATGGCTCTGTGCTCTGCACTCCATGTCACAAGTTGCTAGCTGCATTTTGTTTTCCTCCAGATATTCCTGTTGCCCTGTTCCCTCCCCTGCCACTGCCCACATGTTGTTCTGCCTGCTATTGCAGTGGTGTGACCTTATCCCCGAGCATGGAGAGTTCAGGCAGGACCACGCTCTAGAGGAAGAAAAACTAAACTGTAAGGAAACTATGTAAACCAGTGGCTGATACAGTGTTCCCATATGAGATGCTTTCCCACCCCCATGCTCACTCTCCCTCTGTCAATGTACCCATTTGTACCAGGAATTAAATCACGACCACCTTGGGACTTTTAATTTCTGGAGGGAAAAGAAAAATGTAATTGGAGCATGCCTCGTGTCTGGTATCCGTGGTCCTCTATCAGGATGGGGGATGGCATCGCCGGGGAGAACTCCTATCCCTGTCCAAGCAAACCAGAACAGGAGGAAAGAGAACTGACAGAATCGCACAATCTCGTTTAAGGACAGGATCTCTAGCACTTGGAGCTGTGAAGGTTTCTGTCTTAAAGAGACTGGACTAAATAGGGTTCTTGTAAAAGTGAGCGTGGATGTTGGGGTCTTTCAGCTGATTAGCCAAAACGTACCCTTTAAAGTACCAGCCATACCCGTAGACATTCCTGAGTAGAGAAATCTCCAAATCGCATGCTCTAGTGAAGTGAAGGAGGAAGTGGACACACTCAAAACCTAGCTCTTTTTGCTTCCTATTCTGGTGACATGAGATCCAGATAGACCAAGATGTGGTAGGAAAAAAACCTCTGTAAAATCTTCTGAGGTGGCATCGTCTTTTGGGAGACTGAGTCGGACTATATATATTTGTGGCATATGGTCTTTAGGGAAATGCTCTATCACATTATTGCCTGGTACTTGTAATGATGCGATATGTACTCTAAAAACACTTCCTGATGTGAAGGCTTGCCCTGCATCACCAGCCGTCTGCTTGCTCAAGTCTCATACAAATGAGTTAATTACCTGCAGCAGGAACAAACGTTGACAACGAAGCAAGAAACATAAAATAAAGGCTGATGTCTCCTCGCGTTACGTACAGTTTCTCCTTGGTTACATCATGTTCATAAAGAGAACTGGGCAATTTCCTGTAACGCCAGAATTCTAGGGAGTCTGGGTTTTTAGGATTTCTGACTGTAGAGATCCTAAGTAGAAAAGTATTTAAGTGGCAAAATGTAAGTCACCCATGGGCCAGTAGCCTTCAGGATAGGATGTGCCACTCTTGGCTCAAGGGGATCTCAAAACTTTACTAAAGGGAAAG